TTGACCTTGAAGTGCGCTTGTGCACTTGTGTGTGCGCTTGACACAAGTGCGCTTGACCCTGAAGCGTTATTATTATGCCAGACACCGCCCCAGCTCTTTCGCTCCAATCGCACTGGTGTATTACATGCACTAGATTATTCTATGAACACCCATCTCCCGGGCCAACAGCAGAGGCTCATTGCCATTGAGCCGTCCAGTCAGAGGCGAAAAACTTCTAATTTACCGAATATGATCAGCGACAAAAACTGGCACTTTGATGACGAAATTGCGAACATGAAAGCAAAGTTTAACCGACCATTCCATATTGCAACCGATTACCCCAGCGAGACGAAATTCAATGCTTAGTATTGGACTGCACTCGCTAACGCTTGCAGCGTGAGCACGTGTAGAGCACTTGTCGAAACCTTTAACGTTTCGCTAATGAGCAAGTTGTGCCATAAAATGATTCCAAACGGAGTAGCTTTCATCAGGATAGTTTTTTTGACAGAAACACTACAAATTATAATATACCAGTGCTGACGTCACAGGTAAGTGGTGGCACAGTGATTTTCCAATGCCCCTCCGATCATTGCTTTTCACAGATCTCCCAGCCAAGATTCACTTCACATTCTAAAAAAGAGAAAAGAAGCAAATAGCTAGTCTTATTACTTTTCGTCAGAATCGTGGCTGGCCGCGGTATCTTGCGATGAACGTGATCGGTTTGCTACGCAGCGTTTTCAAGCGCCGTGCCATTTGAGACGGCTGGGCTGGATTGCTTGCCACGCGGTATTGCGTCGGGCTTGGTGCAAGGCTGAGGGATGCTGTCTGTTGTGTTCACGTGAGAAGCTGGCTGGATAGAAGAACGTCGCTAATCGTCAGTTTCATAAGGTAGCAGCGTGGTAGCCTTGCTGATCTGGGAGGATTGTGAATAACCTAGCTGTAGCTTCAGCAGTAAACGGAGGTCGTTGGGGCGACACATGTCACATATTCATCCGGGGCTTCCTGCTGCTGAGAGGAGTAGCGGCTTTAAGGTAAGGGGCCGAGCATTGCTGGTGTAGGCCTCTCGCATTGTCCGTTGCATCTCAGACTTAGCGCACTGATCGGTGGACGTGTGTGAGATAAAACGCCTTTAGCTGTCATCATATTACATATAAAGCAATATAAAGGTACAAGAGGTGTTCCCAAACGTCGTTCACATCTGTTGATACCAATATATCAAATGGATTTTCCTCTAAATAATTGGGATCATGTTAGGCAGTGCAAGTTCTGCAACGGCAATGAATATGCGGAGATACTGAAGATCGTCAACACTTTCAGCTGATTGCACGATGGCGTCACGAAACCAAAAGTGAAATCGTCTCACGTGCTTTTGGGGCCACGCTATTGTTGAATGTAGTAAGGCTGCAGGGATGTAGTTTTGTAAAGTGCGCAGGGGTGAGGGAGAGAAGGGGACGGGGGGGGGGGGAGGTGGATGCAGGAAGAAAAATTGCGTAAAGTGGCGGCTTTGAGGCTTGTTGGAGGAAGATCCCAGTGCGTTAAATAGGTAGCACTAGTATCGAATGCGGCTTTCTTGGAATATCAAAGAAAAACTGCTCTCGCCTCACGAATATCATCATTGGTGCGGTGCGACAGACCTGGAAGTTTATCATTAATCCGTGTGCCAAGGAAAAAATTTGTCTCAGCTGATTCCGAAAGATTCACCCCCTCGATGACACACCCTAATGCACATCCCACTTGTTATCAGAATACCGCGGCAGAAGCGATGGCTCAGGCTGCTCCGCGTATTTATAGCAATACATGACAAGAAAGCTAGGGTTAAGGCAGAAACAAGCTTTAAACGCTTCAACAACCTCAATTAAGGACACGGCAGAAACAAGCTAAAGACGCTTCAACGACCTCTCAACAGCTTTGCTTAGACCTTAAAGCAATGAAAAAGGGCAAACCACTAGGGTCAAAAGGCTTCACCTCCGACCTTTTCAAGCATTTCTAGGGGTATTTAGAAACATTTTCTATCGTGCTTTCAGACAAAGTACAGCAAGCACTCCGCTAAGTTCGCATCTTGAAGGCATGATCACTCCTATCCCCAAAGCAGGTAAACCGTCAGACGAACTGAAGGGTTGGAGACCAATATCTTTACCAAACATCGACTTTAAAATCATATTTGCGGTTATCGCAAACAGGCTCAGGGGTGTTAGAACGCCCTTATTTATCCCACCCAGTCGGCATATATGAAAGGACATTTAATTGCAGAGAACAACAGATTAGTATGCGACTTTGTTGATTCAATGAATAACTGAAGTCTGGTTTGGTAGTAGCAGCTGATTTCAAGGCCGCAGTTGAAACGGTATCTTGGAGCTTCCTTTCTAAAGCCCTGGATCAGTATGACTTTGGAGAATGCCTCAAACATTTAATACATATGGGATATCTACCACATACTTCGCTCGTATATTAAGGGATGAGTTCCTCGGCGAAAACAATGAATGCTTATGCAGCACTGCATAAGGCAACGAGATCCAGCGTCTGGCTGTCTCTTTAATCTCGTCGTGGAACCCCTAGCACACGACAGTACAATCACAGCAGCTGTCCGGCATTAAAAAAACATGGTTAAGAATTTCGGGTGCCGCAGTTCGCTGACGATTTAATAATATTACTCAAGGCAGATAATGTGTTGATAAACGGAACGACAAATTAGATAACAAACTTTTCCTCCGTTTCCGATCCAAACTTAACCATTTACAAGCAAAATGCCTTCAAATCGGGATCGGCACTGAAACTCCACAGACGAATGCAGGGGAAATCGCGTTTGCTGAAGAATTAAAAGTGCTCGGCGTTACTTTCAGAAAGAACAATGTGGACATAACCAAAAAAGCTTGAATTGAAAATACTGCTGAAAGAACATGAATATTGCAATAGGAAAAATGACACTTAACTTTTGTGTGTTTAACTTTTAACACTTAACTGTTATCAAGTCCTTGCCAGTTTCAAAACTAGTGCACATATGTACAGCTTTGCCTATAGTATATATAATAACTATAAAAAATAGTATATATAACAAATATATAGCAAATATAATAACAGTAGTACTGTTATTCAAATTCATGTGGGGATGTCTACAAGACCGTGTTAAAATAACTAAAATGACACAACATGCCTGCTCGACGGTCTAAATATGGTAGATATCAACTGCTTCACGAAAAGCTTAAAATATCGTGGATTCGAAGGTTTCTTTGCTCTTAGCACGATTGTTCAAAGCTAATCAGGGTGAAAATTGTCTCTGTTGAAGACCAGGTAACCTACGGCCCAACGAAATTGAAATATGGCTTGAAGGTATTTCAAAATCCGTTTTGGAAGAATGTAAAAAGTGTGTCTTGTAAAAAGCGTGGTCCGCTGTAAAAAAAACTAAGAAATTGAGAAGGATAATTATCAGGCAACTTTGGTTTCACTTCTGCTATTTCTTTCCATAAAAGCACGTTACCGAAATATCAACGCTTCTATATCCCCATCCTCCTGCTTTCCTCCTCCGAGTAGGGCTGCTACTACCGTCTAATGTATATGAAGACTGCTCTAGCCAACACAGTTTGACCACTCAGAAAATATGAACCTCCATGGGCATCGTTTGAACACGTCATGGAACATCTTTATAACGTCAGAGCTTCCGACGAACAGGCCCTGTCAGAACAGCCACTGTAACGGACAGGCTGATCGGATTGTGGTACAACAATTTGCCGAGGACACCTGTTTTGCTGGAGCGTGTTTGCGGAACCGAACATCGTCATGTGCTCGTGTTAAGGCCTTTCAACGTGATTCATGTTAGACATCCGCCCTTTTACCCTCTTTTTTGCCTAATCATACATACCCGCGACAACCCGCTTGTTGGAACACGCTGCATGCGCCAGCCACCAGCGACCGAAGAGCCCCCTAGTGGGACCAGCACCTAGCGCACACCCCGCAGAGGCACTGCGCGGGCTTAGTACGGGTGGCTGGGCCCCCAAGCGCATGTGGTCCTGCCCCACGGTTAGCCACTCTCGCTCGTCGCATAGCCCTGAAAGATCAGTGCTAGCCGAAAGGGCTCTACTCGAAATAGCCGAATCGTGTTCGAAACTTGCACTTAACGTAAAATAAACTCGCTGAAAGCCGACGGATGAGCGTTAATGCCTCGAATTATCCGAACAGATGAGAGAGACAGACGATTCAAGCATCATATTTGCCTTGACTTTGATCACTACACGGCCACTGAGCTGCCGGTACTCACGTGACGTGTCGATGGCGTCATGCTTGCCTGAATGACCTTGAAAATGTCTGCACGAAAAAACCTGCACAAGCTCAGAGACAAGAGGATTATGCCCACTTCCAAGAGGATGACCGCGAACCGCACAGAAAGCTCTTCAATGTTATTATCTCAGTTCAACCCCCCTGCAATGTGGAACAATCCTTTCAATGACACTGCTCCGACCTATGCACCCAGCCCCCGCCGTGCCATGTCATTGGGGCTTTACGACGCACTCACCTGCTGAGGCTATATGGCGTCGCCTGCCTCTCACCCTGGCAGGAAGGGCGGGCACCGCGGGGAATCGAACCTTGTACCTCTGGTTTCCCAGACGCGCAGTGGTCAACGCAGACGCGCCGACCACTACACTACCGGCACCCTACCAACCCCGCCGTCTCCACGCGCGGAACAGCCCGGAGCATTGAGTTTATTGACAACATGCCTACAGTACTGCTTGGCTTGCTATGTACGTGAAATATTTCGTTGCGGCGCGCGTTCAGTAAAACCACAAGCCGTCCATACATTTCTGCGGTAGCACAACGTAGCAAATTTGAGGTGAAAATTGTAAACGCAGCTTTGAAGAGCGAGTCAACGTCACACCAGGCAGACCTGTTATCAACTGCCCACTGATCCCTCAAGCCGTCCTGGTGGGCGTGGCCGCCCCGTGGGCGCAACCTGGGTCAGGTTGCGCCCACGGGTCATTTCAACCTGGGTCATTCTGTTTGCGCAATCGCACTGCATTAAAACCATCCCGCGTATCTTCCTCATGTATATACACACCAGCCGCTCCGTTATCTACAAAATTCCCACGTCCACTGGCGCGCACCGGGCAGCGGCGTGCGAGACGTCGGCATCCTCTGACTACGGCGGCCGGGTCCTAGGCCTGCTGCTTCATGCCGGTGCCCACCGGCCCGTGCCTCCTCTCCCAGAGCATGCGGTGCTTCTGCTTCATGTAGCAGTCCTTGACCGAGGCGTACGCGCTCAGGTCGCCGTCTGCCGAGGTCACCAGAGACGGGGTCACGGCTCAAGGTCGCGACCTCTGGCGGGCGCGGCCACAGCGCTAGCCGTGCCGTCGCTCCGCCGCGCACGCGAGCGCCGAGGCCTCCGCGTGGCAAGACCTCACGGCGACCTCAACAGGGAGACGTGAACAAGCAGCACTGTGCCCCCCCCCCCCGCCCCGGTGAGTACACTTGCAGTCCACCCCCGGGTCGCGGCGTCCGATCAAGAACATCGCTTATGCCTCCGCCGTTGATAAAACGCCCCGCACATCGGAACATCTCCTCATGCATCCTTCGTTCAACGTAAGGTTCAGTACTTTGCGCTGGAGACAGACGATAGTAATGAAAGCGCCGGATAGCAGTGAGTGTCTTGGGACGCATGACGAGCGCCATGCTGTTTCTACAGCGCGCGACGGAGCTAGGGCGATAAATGGAACGCATCCGACGATTTATGGTCACATGCTGGAATGCCATACGCATTGGCGCGCCTTGCAGAACTTTGAAACGCGAGCGACCGCCAGCCGCAGCTGTGATCAGCCGCACAAGTGACGTTCACAGCGCGGGCCTGGCTCCCCTCCAGACCGCAGGCGGAACGGTCGGCTCAGCCCACCCGATCTCACCGTCAGCGGGCGTGTCCGCGGCGACAGAACACGACTGTTGCCACGGCAACCCGGCTGCGCCCACTGAACACGCAGACAGTGGAAAAAGCCCGACATCCGCATCACCCGCAAATGTAAGGTTTCCGGCAATTGGCTGCTGTGCTGGAAAGCTGGTCTGATCATTCTGCTAACTGTGTGAATGAGAGGATCATTCTGCCAACTGTGTGAATGAGAGTCAGCACGGCACGGCCTGCAGTGACGGCTAGTGACGTCACACGTCACGGCAGCCGCGTCGCGGCGCGTTCCGCCGGATGTTCGCCGGCTCACGCCACTCACACTTGATGAAGAAGTTGGTCTCGGCCTCCTGGGAGATCCTCTCCAAGTCGACGCACTTCCTGGGCGCGTCGACGCCCTCGTAGAAGGCGCAGTCACGCCACCGCTGGCGCAGGATGTTCACAATCTCGCGGTCCACCTGCCTGCGCACGCCGGCCACGGCCGCCGGGTCACGTGGTACCCGGGCAGGGGTCGCTGCGGGACCGCTGGCGCGTGGGTCTGTCGCTGAGCGGCCTGGTTTCTCGCGCCAAGAGCATGGTGAGGTGCCCACAAGCAGGCCGGGAACAGCGCAACATGCGTGTTCGAGGTGGGCGATCAAGCGGTCCATTGCCTTCATCATTTTGTGATCAGCTAAGGGCATTTTCACTGATAACTCATGCTAGATCTGAACACAAAAAACAATAAAAAAACTTGTAACTGTGTTTGTTAGCATGGTCAAGTGAACTAAAGCATGGCATATCAACATAAATGTCTTGTCTTACCACACTGTGCACACTTAAGTGGCCTGGCTGTAACCCATTTACCAGCTCCATCACCAACCAAGGTTTGCAAACCTGTCACGCTTCCACTGCTCATTCGCTTCAAAGAAGCACATCATGTCGTCCGTGTAGCACTCATCAATGGTCGGCACCCGGTTGAACTTTTGATGGTACCAGGGGTACTCCTTCCGGTTTGGCACCACTACACGCTCTGGGGCAGATGAGGAGTAGCATCAATACAAAATGAGAAAGCTCTGCGAGAAGAGCTACCAAAATGTGCTACCTGGCATTCACTGACTATCATATTATAATCCAGACACAGATGTGGGGTCAAAAGCTCTGACATGGACAGTAGATGCCAATGGATTATGTCTTGTCAAGGCATCCATGGCAGGCAGATTGCAACTATGATATGTGATGTGTGAAATTGAATGGCTTCAGACCTGGTCTAGGCCCTGGTATGCAGATGAAAAGTCAAACAAGGGCAAGTGATAAAAACTGGGGGAGAGCAGCTGTCCCTTACTCTGGGATCCCTCTTTATCAGTCATATAAGTCATGGATTCAACCAGGTAAAAAAAAAACAGTGCTGCTCTACAACCTTGGGTGGTGTACCAAGCTATTGTAGTCTCACTTAATACCAATGACTTCAGTTATTAGCAGCATCAGCAACATATGGCTTACTTATATGGCAAGGCATGGTATTAATACATAAAGGGAATAAAAAGAATGCTATGGAATGCTACATGCTGGTAAAATAAGTACAAGTACTGGAGCACACCTAAGCTGTTTGATATGCATTTTATGCTAGCTCTGATTTTCATCTTAAAATTTCATGGATCAGGTGGAAAAGAACACTGACATCCAGCACAAGTCACAAGAGTAGCCAACGCTGCGCTGAAAACTGCATTATCTTAATGCATTTAACAATGCAATACATATCTCCCAACTTATCAGCCTGCTCGCTCCCCATTAGGAAGAAAACTGGCAAACAACCTTGTCAACATGTGAAACTAGCTAACAGTGATGTTGCAACAACTGAGAAAAGTAAAGCACGCGAAAACAGATACCTCTCACCGCATTTTCTGCGCACGCTACCGCGGAGGCTAGATGGGCATAAGCAGATATCACATACCTCTGAACCACGTAACCGGCTTGTCAACAGTATTGAACACAGCGGAGCAAAACTTTCTAAACACGTTGTCGTCGTGTGGATCTGGCATTTTTGCTAACAGTGCTTTCCCTCACGACACAACACAGCAACCCCAACCCCGAAAACGAAGCCGAAGAATGTGCGAACAACTTCCGCGAGAAAGGAAGAAGCTGCTTATTTGTGGCAGGGTCTAAAAAACTGGCATATGACTCAGACACGCAAGCTTTCCGAAACGGCTCGTCCGATCACCTTGAGACCTTTACCAATCAATTTCGTGTAATGAGGTAAGTCATGAGGAGGCAATGTTAAGACATAATCTGAGGTCAAACACCTCAAAAACGCGAAGAGAGAATTTTACATGCAAATGCAGACAACTGGGTCTCAGAGCCCTCTCTACCGATCATTGTGAAACCTTCACCATTGGATGCCTCATGCCTGATTCTCTGTTGCAATTTCAAATTTGGGGACCCTTGGTCAGGTCAAAGGTCATAAAATTTCACAAAGTCCAAAATTCTTGCTTACCGGCACTAAGATATCAGTTGTCTGCATTTACATCTAAAATTTTCCCTTCGCGTTTTAGAGGTGTTTGACCTCAGGTCAGGTCTCGATATTGCCTCCTCATGGCTCACCTCATTGCACATAATCGATTGGTGAAGGTTTCAAGGCGATTGGACTGGCCGTTTCGGAATACTTGCGTGTCTGCGTCGTGTGCCGGTTTTTAAGACCCTTGCGCGAAATCGCGGCTGCGCTGAGGTGAGTCGCGTGGATTATTTTTGTCTGATGATGGTGGAAAACCTTTACCATTTTAGAATCTCACTTTCTATCTGATTGCGAACAGTTCATAGGACGTCACAAGGTCGGTCAGTTGTTGATCGGTGGGTCGGGTATAGGGAAACGGTTTGGAAACGTGCCTGGAGAAACTTCTGCACTTAATTTATGGAAAGTTTTATATTTACCCGATGAGTATGATATTCATCTGTCCTGAACTACACGGCCTTTGGGAAGATATTACTTCACGGGTGGTGCGGGGGATGGAATAAATACTGGGGCTTTGTCCACCATGGGACCTCCTTCACGCCGTCTACCACCAGGTGGCGGGCGGCCGCCTGCTCGGCCATGCGCCACAGCCAAAGAGCATTGGGCCGTCCGAGGCACTACCCTGAAGACGATATCTTACCCAAGGCTCTGCAGTCCTGGATATATCAAAATCACACTCATCCGGTAGGAAATACTCTTTTGTAAATCAAGTGCAACAGTTCCGCCAGGCAGGCCTCCAAACCGTTTCCCCATCCCGACTCAACGACCACCGACCGACCGACCTCAGCGCGTCCTAGGAACAACTTGAAATCAAATGGAAATTGATATCCCAAAATGGTGAAGGTTTTCTTTTCCCATCGAACGAAAATAAATTATCGAGGTTCACCTCCATGCAATCTCATTTCCGCTGCTCAGCTTGGGGTTGCTGGACTGCGATGCTTGGTATCTGAGCGTACCTTTTAGCCAAAATCGGCACTAAACGCCTTTCTCTTAGTAAGAACTCGTACTAAATATTTTTGAGGACGTGTCGGACCGCTGCAAAGGGAAGGTACCAACCGGCTGACCAAACCTGTTGACAGTCCCACGCTCCGAGCCCATGCCACTGATTTTCTTAAGACCTTCATTCGCTGTCACTTGGTCGATAACCCAACCTTTGCAGAACATGTTGACAATGGGTCAGATCAAAGGTCACTAAAATGCAAAGAACGAAAAAGGGGTTACAGACAACCCTGGGCTCCTAGCCGAAAGTACCGATCACCATAAAACTTACACCGATCGATTTGCCATAGTCCACGTCCCAACCTTTCTGGAGTCTGGTTACCTTCACCGAAGGTGGAGGTCGCCAGATTTGGCCCTCACCAAAAAGGTCAAAGATCACCAAAACCACCAAATCAGCCCAAACCACCAAAATTGGCTGTAGACAAACCCATTGTTCCGTACAAATCTGCCTTTACACGGTTTCCCTCTTTTGTGAAATGTCGGCTTTGCTGTCCTGACTCTAAGCTTCTGTTTTATCTCCATTTCTCGGTCCCCTGTCGCGTTTCCCCTTCAGATTTATGTTTTGTTTAGTTTACCGTCCCTGCGACCCCGGCCCTACGGCCAGTCCGGAAACTGCGCCACATGTGTCGTGTTCTGTGCGGGGCCGCGCCGCCCGATAACCGGGCAGTCGTCTCGCGAGCGCCGCCAGGGAGAGGAAGCGTATGTCCTCTTCCTGGCCCGATACCCAAACCTCAAAATACAGCATCAGCCGACGGATGCGTGTTGACGAACGATCGAACGATACCGAACACCCATGCTTTGAGTCTATGGCACCGATCACCACGAAACCTGCATCAATCAGTGTGACATAGTCGATGCCTTTTCCTTTCCAGTGCATGGTTATGTCAGAAGTCATTTAAAACGGCCAACATCACCAAAATTGGCTGCAGACAGCCCTGTTCGAGTCTGTCTCCGCGAAGGCGCACACGAGTCGGCGGTCGGAACTAGACTGTATTTCCGTACTCCGCGAGACGCTTTGCCACCTACCGTTCGGTCTAAATACTACTCGCGCGCTATACTCGATACTCGCACAAGCCCCCATATTCTTTTTTGTATTTTTTGGTGATTTTTGACTTGATCCAAGGGTACCATGTTTTAGTAAAGTTTAGGTTATCGACCAAGCGGTATCAAATGGTGAAAGTTGTATTATGTCAATCAGTGCCACAGGCTCAGAGCATGGGTGATTCGATGGCTTTGGCAATTTTTGATGATTTTTGACTTGGCTCAGCGTCACCATGTTCTGGAAAGGATAAATATCGACTCTACGCACATCGATTGGTAAAACTTCGATGGTGATCGGTGCAATGGGCGCCGAGCCTGAGGCTGTCTGTAACCCTATTTTCCGGCTTTGTAGTGACCTTTGACCTGACCCAAGATTACCATGTTCTGGAGAGCGTAGGCTATCGACCAAGCAGCATTGAAAGGTGAAGGTTTTATGTCAGTCGGAGCCACAGGCTCGGAGCATGTGGCTGTCAACAGCTTTCGTCGGCCGTTTAGTCCCTCCTATTCCAAAGTGCACAAGATGGCAAGACGTCCTTGACCGCCGAGTGGTGATCAAGCTTCTCGTTATAAAGTGGATGCGTCTGTTGCCCCACTTTCTTAATGCGGTCTTTATAGACGCCGACTTGCATGACAGCTGAGGAAGGGACAGTAGCGTTGCGCCTCTGTCCCAACGTTCTTCTCAGGCAGGCTTCCGTCTTTGCGTCTGGGGAGCCCGACTGTTTGTTGTACGCCTGATATCTAGAGCCCCCCATAAGCCCGACGCCAGAGTTGCTTACCGCTTGTGCGAGCTGTGGATGGGTCAGCCAATCCCCAGGCCTTTAACCCAAATGTCAGGGTGGTTCCTTTTAACTTATTCCACTTGCCCCTTCAATGGTGACTTGTATAAGCCCCGACGGGTCGATGTCCACCTCGAGCTCACGCGTTTTCCTCAGACCGATTGTTCAATCATCACACACACACTGATCTTTTGATTATTTATTAACAGGTGTGGCTGGCGACACAGACACCCACCAATGCAATATGCATGTATATACACACACACACACACATTAACACTCACGCACACGAACAATGAGCACATTTCCGCCCACTTCTGTACGTGAGACGGGCTCGCTACACGACGCCGCCGGCTGGCTCGGTCAGAGCCGCTGCGCGGCACCCAGTATCCCGCCCTTACCATCGCAGGAACCATCGTTACCCCGCTCAGAGCGCGCGGCTGACCCGACACGGCGGCCACGGACGATGACGGTACCAACACAGACGCGATCTGCCGGCGCCGGCAGTTCGCTATCACAGCTAGAGCGCAGCTCGCCCGGCCGGCGCCGCTCACTTGCGCGAGCGCTTCTTCTTTTTGTCCTTGCGCTTCTTCTCGTCGCGCTTCTTATGGCTGCGCTTCTTCTTGCGCTTCTCAAGCTCGCTGTCCGAGCTGTCCGACGAGTCGCGACGGCGCTTTTTCTTGCGCTTCTTGCGCCTCGCCTGATCGCTCGAGTCGGAGTCCTCGCTGGACTCCGAGTCCGAGTCGTCCGAGCTCTCAGCCGGCTTCTTGGCCCGCTTCTTGGCCTTCTCGGCGGCCGGCTTAGCATCCGACGGGGCGTCCTTCTTCGCCGCCTCATCGCCTTCTTCTTCGGGCGCATCGTAGTCTGGCTCAAAGTGCTGCTCGTCGATGAAAGACTTCGGCCGCTCAAGGGCCGGTCTGCCCGACTCCGCCTGCTCGCCAGCAGCCGGCGTCGTCCCATCCGTCGCGGCCGCCGGCGACTTGGCTTTCTTTTTTGATCGCGGCTTGACCTCTTCCTCCTCTTCGGAACTGGAGCTCTCGGAGACGGAGCGGCGCTTCTTGTGCTTCCGCCGGTGGCCCTCCGTCTGGCTGTCACGCCGCTTTCTCTCGCGCGACTTCTCCTTGCGCCGACGCCGCTCCAGCGCCGCCTTCTCGCGCTCGCGCTCCAGCTCGCGCCGCAGCCGCATCTCGCGCTCGTCCCGCTCGCGGCGCTCGCGCTCGTCGCGCTCCCTGCGCTCGCGCTCTCGGCGCTCGTCGGGTCGGCCGAGCGGGCGCCGCTCGCGCCACTGGCGCTCGCCGCTGCGCGAGCGCGGCCGCTCCACGGCGCTACGCAGGCCCGGCGGCCGGCGCTCTGCCTCGTCGCGGCGCACGGTGATCTGCAGGCTGGGCTCGGGCGGCCGCTCGGGGCTCGGCGGCTCGATGTAGACGCGGCGTCGGTTGCCGCGCACCGCCTGCTCGGCGCGCTTCAGCGTCTCCTTGTTGACGACGGTGCGCCGCTCGGCCGACCGCGGCGCGCGCTCAGCCGGCGCGCGTCGCTGCGACGGCGAGTCGTCCTGCTCCCAGCGCGACGGCGCCGGCGGCTCGGCCGCCAGCCGCTCCGGCCCGGCCGGCGACGCGGCGGCGGCCGGCAGCGGCGCCGCCGGCGAGCCCGGCCGCGGCGGGCTGCCACCGGCCGGCGGCGGCGAGGGCTTCACGGCCGGCGGCGAGGCCGTCCGCTGGGCCGGTGGCGAGGCCGACTTCGACGGCGCAGTGGACGCGGCAGCAGCGGCGGGCGCCGTCTCCCGCTCTTGCGAGCCGGCGGCGTCCCGCTGCGACGCCGTCTCCTTCTCCTCCGGCGCCGGCGACTTGTGCTCGGACGGCGTCTCCGACGCCTCCTGCGAATCCTTGCCACGTTTCTTTTTCGTCTTCTCCTTTTTCTTCTTCTTGTCCTCTACCTCGTCCTTCTCCTTCTTGTGTTTCTTTTTTGGCTTCTCCTTCTTCTCGTGTTTCTTCTTGCCATCCTTGGCGTCGCGCAGCGCCTGATGTTTTTCCCGAGAGTGCTTTTCCTCCTGGCCGCGGCTGGGGCGTTCCTCATGGCTGCGACTGGAGCGATCACGCTCATCCAGGCCGCGACTGGAGCGATCGCGTTCCTCGTGGCCACGACTGGAGCGATCGCGCTCCTCGCGGCCGCGACTGGAGCGATCGCGTTCCTCGCGCCCGCGCCCCGAGTGGTCGCGCTCCTCGCGACCCGAGCGCGCCCTCTCCTCCATTCTGTGCGCCGACCTCTCCCTCTCCTCCAGGCCCCGGCTGAGCCGCTGCTCCGCGCTGCGCGCCGGCCGCTCGCGCTCCTCCATGGCACGCTCGGCCATCTCGCGCTCGAGCCGCTGCTCCTCGCGCCGCTGCGCCTCGCGCCGCTGCCGGTCCTCCTCGCGGTAGCGCTGCAGCAGGGAGGGCTCGCGGGGCGCGCCGTGCCGCTCGCCGGCGGCCGGCTCGAAGCGGCGCCGAGTGGCCAGCTGCGGCGGCGGCGCCGCCGACTCGGGCTCGTACCGGCCTCGGTAGCCGGGCGGCGGCTTGGCGCCGGCCTGGCCGCGGAACTGCTGCCGGACATAGAATAAACGGTAAGGTACGGCGACGGCGGCGACGACGGCGGCAAGCTTCAGTGGTTGTTGCGTTAATTAGAAGGAGAGACCATATTGTGGTCATTCTGCAATGGTGCAAGAAAATTATGCGCCAGATTACAGTCTGCGACAGTCCTTCAGTCCTGTCCTGATTAGACAGTCCTTCAAAACACATGCAACACAGATTTCAAGGATTTACGCCTTGTCCTTGAACACCTTCATGGAGCTACAGCCAGTGACTGTTGACGGCAGCGGCCACTCACCTCATCATACTCAGCCGGGTAGCGGCCGTTGACGCGGCGCGGCTCCTCGGCGCGGTACACGCTGAAGTGCTGCGGGTACGCCGGCTGCTGTGGCGGGTACTTCTGGTACTCAGCGCCGTACTCGGGACCGTACCTGGCGGGCGAGACGGCGGCGTCACGGGAAGCCCACCCGGGCTCAGACGACGTGCAACACAAGGACAAATGCTGCCCTCACTGAGCACAGGAGCTCGGTGTGCACTTCCACGGCGCAATATCGCGTCCGGAATCACTGTCTGCGGGCCACGCGCGGAGTGCATAAGCCGCTGAGAGGAGTCACCACATCCAGCCACATCACACGTCACACGTCACATCAGCCGCTCTGCGCCGGCCCTCCAGCTCGCGCCGCCCGCCCACTCACCGTCCGAAGGCCTCCTGCCAGCCGGCCGGCGGCGCCGAGTCGTAGCCCATGAGCGGGCGCAGCGGCGGCGCCGGCTGCTGCTGCGGCTGCTGGCCGTAGCGGCCGCGCGCGCCGGCCGTCGCGAACGCGCCGCGGCCGCCCTTGTAGAAGCCGGCCGGCTGGGCGCCGGACGGCGCGAAGAAGTCAGCGCCGGGCGGCGGGCGTGGCGCGAACTCACGCGGCGTCGGGTAGTCGCGGCCGTACTCGCGCGGCGGCGCCGGCGCGCCCGGCGGGCCGTAGTAGTCGCCGCCGCCCCTGTACCGACTGTGGGAAGGGCGCCTGGTCAGCTGGCCCGCTCGGGAGGCCGCGAGACTTTTGTGACGGAGGTGCGTTTTGCGGCTGTGGCACGTGTGAAGAAGACGGAGAAGGTCGGGATCGTTTAGCGCCGAGAACACGAACAGATCCGGTCGGTGTCATAATTAAGGAACAAACTGACGACAACCATGTTGTAATTAAATAAATCCAAGTCGATCGGCAAGCCGTTGTCATTATCACCCATGCTGGTCACGACAAACACGCACATAGCGGTGCTGTAGGAAGCAATCGGTAACTGACTTCCAGGAGCACAGTATTGAGCACTATGAGCGCTAGCATCACCTGCTGAGAAGAGAGCAGAGACATAAACCCACGAGGCGACAGCGAGGCCGCCACGCCGGCGGACGTACCTGTACGGGCTGGCGGGGTCAGCGTCCCGGCCGTACGGGGGGCTGGGCTCACGGCGACGCGGGTCCGGACCGCCGCGGCCGCCGCCGTAGCCGTCGGGCGGACTGGCCGGCCGGCGCAGGCCCGGCGGCGACAGGCGCGGCCCCTTGCGCGGCGACGGAGAGCGCGAGAACGAGATCGACCGCCTGCGGGCGACGGCGGCTCGGGTCAGTCGGGTGCCGGGGACGGCCGCCGGGCGTCGCCGCAACGGGGGTGTTACACGTGCCAGCACATGACAAGCTTACGGAGCGAGCGTTGGGAGCAGCCTCACATCATTGCGACAGACCGCCAAGGCACAGCAGAGCACGCGCCTACCCATCAGGCTGAATGCTTTCTCCGTCTTGTCTATACGTGGCCATTGAAAGAAGACCAAGTGAGCCCACTCCTTCCTCGCTCCAACAACCGGGGTCCCCGGGACAGCATGATTGTATAGCCATGACGTCTGCCTGTCGGCCGGTCGGTCCGTCCCAGCGTCTGCCCGCCCCCGTTCCCCGGGGGACTCCGTCTGCGGGCCGCCCCCTCCCGGCGGCGGGACGCACCTGCGGCGCGGCGGCGGTAGCGGGCTGGCGCGGCGCGCCGGCGGCGAGCGCGTCAGACGGCGCGCCGGCGGCGGCGAGCGGCTGTAGCGGCGCGGCGGCGGCGAGCGGCTGAGCGAGCGGCGGCGCAGCGGCGGCGACCTGCGGCGCACCGGCACGCGTCACGCGGACCGTCACGTCACGTCGGCGGCTGCACGCCAGCACCGAGCACACGAGAGCGGCCGGCGCAAACCTAGCTCAAAGGGGCAGCCGTCTGGCGTTCGGCGCACTACCTGTGTCAGGCAATCAGTGACCTACTTGTCGCCGCCACCAAAGTGGCCGCGCTCGGCGAAGAGCGACGAAGAGCTGGCACCTCGCTTACATCGCGGCGCTACACTGGCGACAACACACGAGCGGGCCCCGCTGCGTTCCGCCCAGCACGGCAACCCAGCGCACGCCAACCGAACTGCACCGCCCACCGCCCCCCCCCCCCCCCCCTGCGCGGTGAGCACCTCCCGCGACCTAAACGCCAGCCCAGCCGCCGCCACCCTGCTCCGGCGGCGCTGCCGTACCTGGACGGGCGCCTCTTGACGGGGCCACGCGACGGCGAGCGCGAGCGCGAGCGGGAGTCGCCGCGCAGCGCCGGCGAGCGCGAGAAAGAGCGGCCGCGCGGCGAGAACGAGCGCCGCTTGGCGCGGCCGTCGCGCAGGTCCTTCTGCAGCATCAGCCGGTTGAACTCGGCCAGCGGGTCGTCCACTGGGCCGCTGTCGACGGGAGCACGTGGTCAGACCGGCGGTTATCGGGTCAGCACGCGGGGCACGAGGTCAGACTGCGGGCAAGGGGTCAGTCTGGCCGGTGTTGGGTCACACTTGG